AGTTTTCAGATTTTTCCGAAAAAGTGGAATTATCGAAATGGACCAGTTGTCTGACCACCAAGATGGCCAGGTCTAAATAATGACATTTTAAATTGTTTTTGACTTTTTTGAAGAAGAAGTTATTTGAAAAAGAAGTTCATTACATTAACGACTTCTGTATACAGTTACAAAAATATCCACTTAAGAATTACCCTGTATGGGCAAAATAAATATATCTAATTTGGTTCAAATATTTAGTTTTAACAAACAGTTTATGGCGAATAATGGGCACATCTTGAGATCTTTTAGAAATAGCTATGTAGAAATGTTAAAGAAAAGAAAAAAGAACAAGCTCTATCTAGCAAATAACATACCCATCTAAAAAGCAATCAAAAGCGGCCCCCGAAAATATTAAAACAGAGCGAATAGGAATTCCTTTGCCGAGCTAATGATGTGTAGGATGTGTGCGTGCTCGATTTTAAAGGTCGGGCCGGGTGGAGAAAAAAAGGATAAAAAGACCTTTTGCCGGCGTCCATCACGTACCACTCACAGGCACTGTCTGTCCGTGTCCATCTTTTTTACCTGCCACTAAAGCCGAGGTCAACGGAGTTTAAAAAATTTATAGTTTAAAAAAAATTCTTATTCGCCAATTTTGTTAGGTATATTAATAGTATATTAAGTACCAAGGGACTAAAGTGCCACTTTTAATCCCGAGAGTGAAGATTAAAACGCACTTTAGACTCGTGGTACATACGCTATTTTTTGTACCGCAGGGACTAAAATGTACACGATAATTTGACGTTTTATAGCAATCAATTGTGTTTTTAATAATTGTACTATTAATAAATAAAAATATATGCAAAGTTTCAAACAAAACTATTTTCGGGAAAATCGATAAATTTATTCGCTTATAAAAGAAGTCTTGTTATATTACCTCCCGAATAAAGTAGTTCGCTATGGTTTCTATTGGACTAACATATTTTAGTCCCAAGGAAGTAAAAGTAAAACAAAAAATTAAGTTTTCACTTTTTCGTTCTTGTTTAGAATATTTCCGGATTGTCTAATGCACTAGACACTAGATAATACACGATAATACGTCATAATATTTGACATTTGACACACACACATGCTATTTTACGAATTTATCCCATTCTTTTGATAACAATCTATTGAATATACGCGATATTTATTTTGTATTTTATCTTTTCTGCATCTTTCAACCTCTATGTTTAATCTTCTGTCAAATAAAATAAATATAATCTAATATTAAGGGTGATTCCAAAGTTTGTGTAGAATCATTAAAATAAAAACAAAAAAAATCACAAGGATTTAGGTCAGGTGACCTCGAGGGCCACACCAGAAAGATACAGAATTAAGAAATTCAAATCCAGTCTGTTATTAGTTGGAAAGTGCGGGAGTTTTTAGATATTAGGTTCCCGAATAGGTAGATCAGTAGAAATGGACCAGTTGGTTGGCTACCGAGGTCACTAGAACTAAATCTTTGTAGTTTTTTTTTTTGAAAAAGTTACTTGAAAAAGGTGTTTATTTTAATGACTTTTATAAACAGTTAAGAAAAGAAATAACAACTTTGGAATCACCCTGTATAAATTTAATTGATAAACTAAGTCTACACAGTTGTTTTTTAAAGTGCTGAAAAGTTAAAATGTGACACGCCATTATTTACCTCATGGATGATATTGTTTTGATTTCGCTGTTCCCCACAATTTGGTCTAAATCGGTTTAGATCATTGGATAAGCAGGTCTTAAAATATTTATAAAAACGACTTAATCTCGTTTTACCAAAATTTTATCTTGCTCTGTTTTTACCGTCCATTATGTTAATGTACTTTAAGAAACGGTGGTGGATGATATATATCTTCTGCTAATGCACTGGTAATCGTTTGTGGACTTTAGATTTCTTTGAGGAGAGTATAATGGGCAGGTCATAAGTAATTAATGAACGACGATTTGTGTCTGGCAGTTTGCATATGAGAGGTGGTTGTTGGGATAGTATGTACATATGTCAACCGGGAGTGTCCTATTCTTAGGTTATTTATAACCATTTGATCGATGTTGAATAAACATTCTGTTGTGGCGAAACTAAATGTTTCGATTGTATGCTTTTTGTTACCAAAATATATTGGAAACCCAGAGATTAAGAGGAAGATGACATAGGTCTCTGGCATGAACTTGCCTAAACGTGGAAGATTGCTAAAATTCATAGATTCAGTATCAATATTACAACGAATAATACGTTAACCAAAGGTTATGATATGTAGAACTCTGTACTACATAATATTTATTAATAATCGAAGTAACAGGCCTTAAAACTAAGAACTAGAAAGATTACAGACATAAACGTTGTCATATAGTATACAACATTAAAATAAAAGAATTGGAATAATTTACTATAATTAAATATAATAGATACCTTTCACGATTTATAATCAAAGTTCATTAATCTTATAAGATTTAAAGTTTTTCTCAAAACTTTTATTGTATCTGTTACATCATAAATATTACTATCAATACATTGCAAAATAATTGTAATAAAATCAGTATTATAACATACCTTACTAATTGCATCAGAGCGGCCAAGTTAAAAATGGTGATAATTAAAAGAAAATAAGCACAACACGCCTTATTTTTTCTAAACTAAATTCCTCCGCTAACATGCATTTCTCAGGGAAAAGCAATTTTTTTGTTCGTGGTATTTAGTTAAATAGTTCGTCATTAGAAAATCGATATATGCCATCTTCGGATAGTTGTTTTTCCACTATTAGTTCTTTTTCAATCGATTCTGGTTTTAATTTATTTAGTTGGTATATAAATCGACGTTGGGTACTCATTAATTAGTACTCTGTATATAGTACCTAATTGGTTTGTTTAAATTATTCAGATGTCGTGCAATACGAACTCATCAATGGAAAAAAAGCTGTTCTATAAAGGCCAGTTATACAATGAATATAATAATTATAATTAATCAATGATACTTGCATTGTTGAACATTTTCATTTATATATTTTTTAAATCATTATTAGATTTTTTTTGTTAAACATTTAATACTTCAACAACTCAATTTATATTCAATCTCGTATTCAATGGAATGATGTTCCATTTTAAGGTAGATATGTGTGTTTATCATTGACAGTCATTTAAAACTAGCTATTATCAGAAAATTGTGTTGCATACTTTTAAATGGGAAAAACAGGTATCAAAGATAAACACTGTATCAAAACACCCATTGTGTCTATTTCATATCTATCATGATTTGTGCATGAGATAAATATCTAACAAATGAATCATTCTTGACTACAAGTTAACAACATTATAGTAATTTTCATAGATGTCATTATTTTTTAAGACAATTTGTAATACTTATGTTTCTCTTTGAACGTACTTTTGTGTTCTAGGCTTTATGATGACCAGTATGGTATAAATAAATTCAAGCGTGGTGCAGATGTTGAATTTCTTTATTATTATTGAATAATTGAGATCACATTATTGGGAAAATGGATAAACTGCCATTTTGATGGCAATTCGTTATTGAATCTCCAAATACCTGAGAGCCTAAATGCTAAATAAAGATGAATCATAGTGACAAACTACCAAGGAAAAATACTGCCATTTTGAAAAATGTCCCTCTAGCTTAAAAATCGTATTGTATTCGTGAATGAAACTTGGATTAATCGTTATGATACACAAACAAAATTACATTTGAATAGGTATATGAGATATTTCATGCGCAAAAATAGCATTATATTTTGCTATTAAAATAGCATCATTGTAAGTAGCGAAGCGTAAATAGTAGAAACTAGCGCTGTTATCGAACATCTTCATTGTAATATAGGTATCAACTGTCAAACGAAGACATTTCCTTACTGCATCAGCTTATTGGAAGTTTAAACAATTATAATGTCGATTATGATTGACTATTCAGAAAAGAGTTAACATTTTAAAGAATAAGCATTATGAGAATTCTATTAGGACAACTATAAATATTTGCCGATAGTAGCCTATAGGCTAGAAGAAAATTAAGGTAAATCCATTGATTCAAAACGCACTATTTATCATGGAATTTTTGTTGGATTTAGGTTCTACGTTTTCCACTCACATTTACTATAGATCTTTGAAACCCAATGACTATTACTGGTTTAGAAAAATAATAAAAAAATCCTCTATTTTATATTTATCAATAAATCATTTGTGCAACAAGAGTGGATATATACAATCCACTCGAGCTGTACAGTATATAAAATAACTAATTTAAAAATAACTTATAAAATTTACTAATAATGTATAAAATAAAATAAACATGAAAAAGATTTAATTTAATTAGTGCCCAGCCCAGATTTAAACCCGGTCCTGCACCGCTACATTTAGGTTTTAAGTTTTAATATTCGTAATTAAATTAGTTTCATATAGTTTGATTAAAATTTTAAAGATTTTTTTCTAAATGTGGACGAAATAAAAATGCTATTTATCGATTCTATACAAAACTAACTCATTTTAATGTATACTTAATCTAAAAATATACTGACAACTAATAGTTTGACAGAATTGTCACTAATTTAAAATTTTAAAAATAATAGTAGGGACCAAAATATGAACTGTGATTGGTGGATTTAATTTATTTACAGTGTTCTTACTACCAAGAATGGATATGAAATATATTCGTTTAGTTGAACGCAATAGCATACTTTTTCGTTTTGTAGTATGTGCGTAGATAGGCTAATATCCATGTGGGTGTAAAAAAATCATTTTAAATGATTATACGTTGACATTTGAACAATAGTTTAAAACTAATGTTATTGAATGTAGTTCCGAGTTACGGTAAAGATCTATGTAAGCTCGTTATTATTTTCTTTCTTAACCTACAATTTTTAATTTTTTATTTTACTGGAATTACTTCTTTCCACTTCTAAATCTTGGAAACTCGTTGCTTTGGAATTAACTAATCGCTTGATAATTTTACAAATAGATATTTAGGTGAAAAATATGTCCATAAATCCAATTCTTACCTGGCATACAAACACATCTAAAAGTTCCTGGATCATCAAGGCATGAACCGTCGTTATGGCAAGGATGAGACTCGCATTCGTTGACATTTGTCTCGCATCGTGGTCCTGTAAATCCCTGGGTGCAGTTGCATGCAAAACTACCTGGAGTATTCACACATATACCGTCGTGTTCGCAGGGAGAACCTAGAAAGAAAATAGACAATTTACATCAAACATATTTTTTGAAAAACATAATTTTATGATCCGATTTACTTTTATATGTCTATATTATACATTGTTATCATTAGTATTATCCAGTTTATAATATAATTTATAACAGTTCCTTGATGTTGGATCTCAAATTACTATTTGGTGTAAACTAAAAATCTGGCAAACAATAAATTAAAGCTGGTACATATCGGTAAACAAACCTCGATTACCAATTCGGTTCAACAGAGTTTGATATAGGTAATCGTCTCATATACAAAATTTAACATAATCTACTCAATTATTTCTCATCCTCAAATCCATCTCAAATCTTATTCTGAAGATGAACTGTCAACATACCGTTGCATAAAATCAGGCGTACACTACAAATACACCATCCATCCGTAATATCTTGATCGTTATAATCGCTGATTACACAATAAATATAGTAAACAAGGCACCTGATGAAGACACAGCAAGCCCTTTTAATAGCTTCTAATTCGGGTACCTACTCGAGCTATACAAGTATAATACATTGGTTTCTTTAAAATATAACCAACCATACATAATTATCTTAAAAAATTAATTTTATACATCAACAAAGTGATCCACAAAAAAATATTTTTAAAGTAGACCTTGAAAAAATTCACGTGTGTCAGAGCTTACAATTTTTCTTCTATATGTGTCAGTTAACCGTGCGTAGTTATCACGGACATGAGTCATATATAAAAACTTTTGGTTCGCTCTTTATATACAGTGTGTCTCCAGATAAGTGAAATGACTCTTGAAAAATGTACAAAATTCTCTTTTTAAATTTTCATTTTTTTGGAGTTCAGTTCTGCTTTGTTAAAAACTAATTTTCAACATAATTTCAGTTTTGAAACACCAAGGATTTTCAAAAAATCTATATTACTCCAAAGTAAAGTGCCTTTTATGTTGCAGATATGACCAAAAGTTACTAAGAAAAGTCGTTTAGAATGACTATATCTAGGTATATACCTATACCAAATTTGAAAATCCTCGGCCAACTGATTTTTCATTTATTTTGTCAAAATAAAAAATCAAAGTTGGCCGAGGATTTTGTAATTTGGAATAAGGACTTATGGGGGGAGTCCCGAAATTAGACCGTCAAGTTTTAACAGCGTAATCTACATACTAAAATAGGAGTAAAAGTTTATATAAATATAGGTCCGAAAACGTTTTGATTCCGAGATACAGGGTGTTAAAAGTGAAGTCCTGATGACACATTTTTGTAAATATTATAAAGATAACTAGGTGAAATTTGGTTTTTTTGTTGACTGTTTTTAACATTTTTGATTAAAAATAAAGCTACTTTTATTGTATCTCGCTAGACGCACCATTTTCAAGAGTAAAGCTTTTGAAAATTTTGTGATAAGTTGATGTTATTCGATCTTATTCGAAAGAGTAAACAATAATTAGTAGTCCTGTGGAATCAGAAATATATTTTTTTTAACTTTGGAAAACAGGTGACTAAAGAAATTTTAGAAAATATTTACAAAAATCAGAACTTCACTTGTAATACCCTGTATCTCGAAAACGAAACGTTTTCGGACCTATTTTTATATAAACTTTTACCTCTATTTTAGGATGTAGATTACGATGTTAAAATATGATCGTCTAATTTCGGGATTTTGATTTCAAGCAACTTTTCTAAACGGTTTGAAGTATCTGTTACCGAAGAGCTACTATCTTGACAAAATAAATGAAAAAATCATAGTAAGTCGAGGATTTTAAAATTTGGTATATGGACCAAGAAGGTGATTCTAAACAACTTTTGTTATTAAGTTTTGGTCATATCTGCAACAAAAAAGGCTTTTTACTCTGGAGAAAAATCAGTTTTCTGAAAATTTTCAAGACATCTTCTGATTTTTCAAACTTTCCCATAATTGAAAAAAAAAAAAATGAGCCACAGCAACGGCAGCATAGATCATACAAATCAGCTGATCAATGACCTGTTCAACAAAAAAGATTTAAAAGTACTTTGACGAAAGATTGGGCAAGATAAATGTCAGAGAGTTGTCAATGAATAGTTTTTTAAAAGTTTTTTAAAATTAGTTGCCTATTAATTACAAAGATTTTGTAATTTAACAAGATCTCTATCTAGATTAACGTAACAAATCTAAAGATAATTCTTCATTTTAAGCTATAGACCAGCTGACCCAACGTACTGTCATTAAAATCCAATTATTCATTTTGTTGAATAGAGATGCTGCTCATATACCTATGTACACAAAGTTAAAAAAAGCCTGAAGAAAATTGAAATAATTAGATTATTCATCATTCTCTCCATCTAGCAGGCCGCTGGCCACGTCATCGTATTTTCTCAGGTAACTACGATCTCCAGACAAATTAAGATCAAATAAAGGTCATTTGAGGTCATTAATTAGTTTCAGTGTCTTGAACTGGCGGCAGTTGGCAGCACTGCAATTACCACTCGATGTCGTCGATCGATTGAACTGTCAAAGGTCACAGAGCTTTGATCTTTAATTGACTTTATGAACGCTTGTATAAGATAATTAGTGAACTAATTTTTGCCATAGTAATAAAATTGATTGGCTAAGGGGGTTTATATATATTTTTTAGTTTTAAATGCTTATTAATTAATACTTCATTTTGTTAGATATAAGGAAGTATTTTAAGTGATACATCTGTTGTCATGTTCCGCTTAGTTAAATTTTAGTAATTGTATAATATTATGACTGGTGTTTGATTTGTAAGCATTGTTCTTTCTATACATGCTTAGTGCTTTCATAAAATCAATTCCCTCTTTATAATGTATTTCCGAAAATAGGTGTATCAACAACATGTGACAAAAAATTATGAAATTACTCGTATTAAAAAAACAGTAAATTTTCATTAAAAGTTACGAGGGTCAGATTCAATTCAAAGTGTTAAAAATTCTCACCTCATCTGACAAAATATCTGAACGGATAATTGCTTGTCTCATTAATTCTGATTATAATAATAGATCCACGTTTTTTTGCTTGCTATTTGTAGTTGGGTACAGGAGATGGGGGATGAATAACATGTAGGTACTATGTCCCGGTGGTGGGAGCTGTCGAATACCTGACAAATTTAAATTAAAGTTACTTATCGATAAATGTTTGCTTTTTTGCTGACAATGAAATATATGCTTCTAGAAGTCAATCCCATTGCAAGCATTTTCTGTCGTCCGGTTGTGCTACTTCCGGTGTAGGCATTTCGTACACGTGACCGGATAATTATGTTCTTCAACAAAATTAGAGATATAACTTAAACGTGTTTTTTTTTTCAGAATCTAATGTGATATTGGAAGCATTTTTTGTGTCGACGAAAGGGTTGATATGCAAAAAAATGCAACCTGGAGAAAAATGACCCGTTTTTGAAAAAGGTGTAAAATCGGAACCAAAGGTCAAAAAGTGGTTTAATTGCTATCAAAATGTTTGTATGACTCTTGCCCTTGCAAGCATTTGTTATTTAGTAGTTCAGTCTTTTGATGTTTTGTTCCCCTGTGACTATTTTGACATTTTTCCTCGAAAACCCAGGATGAATAAAAAGCTAAATGGAGTATAACTACTGAATAAAAATGATTGCAAGGGTAATACTCTTATTTGAGTCATACAAACATTTTGAAAGCAATTAAACCACTTTTGATTCCGATTTTACACCTATTTAAAAAAAAAAGATAATTTCGCCAGGTTGTAATTTTTTTGCATATCAACCCTTTCGCCGACACAAAAAATGATTGGCAGATCAAATAATATTCAGAAAAAATGCGTTTAAGTTATATCCCGAATTTCGTTGAAAAAAGGTCAATATCCGGTTGCCTGGCCGAAATCCCTACATCGGAAGTAGCAAAACCGGACGACAGAAGTTGCTTGCAAAGGGATTTTTTTATTGTTGTTGGCGTCTAGAAGCATATATGTAATTTCTAAAAAAAAAGTAAAAATCCATCGATAAGCAACTTGACTTTGAATTTGACAGGTCACACGACAGCTCTTACCACCGGGATATAGTACATAATGTTCACCCCCCTCCCCTGTATCCAACTACAAATACAATACAAATGAGAAACTATAAGTACTATGAAATCAAACATGAGATGTTTCTATAAGCTTTTCATTGACGCAACGCAAGGGAATTGGCTATTTAATTGTTTTGATGTGGCTTAAAGGACAGCTAAAATTATTTTTAATTCTTAACGGCTTTTTTGATCTTAGATCAGATATATAGCTGTAAGTTATTAGCTGTTTAGATTGCAATATCTTAAATTGCATTCAATTCAAATTACTGTTATAATAACGGCAATGAAAATGGAGACAAGAACGCCCTTAAAAATGTATAACGTAATATCTATCGGCCTCATTAACATTAATATGGTGATTTGGAAGTAAGAAGCGCATCAAAGAGCACAAAAACTACGAATAACTTTGATTACGTAATTTAAGATTAAAACAAAAATTCACGTTATACTTATTACACGATGAACGAAATGCAAAAACTTAAACAAGTATTCAGACTAACCGGTTATCGTTGGAAGTGAGTGAAGAATCATTACACTATTTATTCAATTTTCTGCCACATAGGCATCGACATCTCATCATCTCTCACTAAATTTAAGCCTGACGTTTTAATCTTAAAAACTGATAGGTATTATAGAAATTATAGACTATATACGGGATGTCTCAGAAACAAAATATAACCTCATATTGTTGTATTTTGTTATTTTTAATCTTTTATTAACAACTATGCTGTAGTAATATAGGAATGTCAGTTATAAGGTCAAACGGAATACGGGAAAAATCATGTCATTTAGCAGATCTGGGTAGTTACATGTACTTTAAAAATAATTACAATTACAAAGTACTTTTTCAAAAAAGAAATTACCTAATTACAAGTACAAAGTACATATTGTAAAAATAGGAATTATACTGATTTAATTACATGAAAAAAATAATTATCAATTACTTTTATAGTTACTTTTCTAATTACTCTGC